ACATAATAAATATTCTGTTCTACAGGTCTTTTTTTCAAAAATTGGGGTGAGGGGGCGAATTTATTATTTATTATTTATAGGCGCTCTTTTAGTATTACTTTTAGTAGTACTTATTTAGTACTGGAATAAATCGGAGCATTTTTAGGACTGTAAAACAGAATATTTATTTTGTATGGCCTTATAGAGAATAGAAGGCTATCTTTTCAATAATAAAGAAATTTACGTCTCTTCAAAAAAAAAAGCACAATTTCATTTTTTTTCTGATATTTTATCAAACCAAAGTAGAGCTACAATTAGTTGTTGTTATCAAGAAATTGGTCCTATCTACTTAATCCCCCTAATGGTGCTAAAAAAAATTTTTTTTTATAATGGCAATAACTGAAGGACTGTTCATATTGAAATATTGTGAAAAATTCTATATCTCATTAATATGTATAAATTGAAACCATACCTGTTGTAAGTTACTGTAAGATGTATTAGAAGTTAAAGTCTGTTTCTGTAATAAACACGCATTAACATAACCCTCTTTTAAAACTGCGCAATTTTCCGTTCTTTTATAAAATATTTTGTGAAACAAATTAGTTATTTCGCTATTACAAAATAACTATTTCGCTTAAACGAAAAAACATCACATATTTCGTTTAATACGAAATGATTAATTCGTTTAAACGAAAAACTTACAAATTATTTCGTTCAAACAAATTAATTATTTTGTTAAAACAAAATACTTTATATAAGTACGGATAGAATATGGTTAGTCACCACCACTTTTGAGGCTAAAACTCAAAAATCACATGGACTATATTGAATCAGGAAGACTAATAGTTTAAGAATAAAGAGTTACCTGTTTGCCTATAAGAGTTACTAATTGTAATAAAGCTGTACAATGTGTATGTAATGTTCTCTGTATAGAGGTAACTGTAGGTAACAGTAACTACTCCTTTGTATCAGTCAAATTAGTAACTTCACCACTCTGAAATAAATAATACAAAGTTTTGCATAATAGCCATGAAAATTTTGTTAAATTAAATACCCTACATGCTTTCAACTAACACACGTTTCAGATACCTAATAAAATGAACAGATACCCAAAACAGGTTTCCAAAAACATAATCAGGTTTCCAATACCTAATACATAGCTAGTCCCATAGCGAACTTTTCCACAAATCGCGTGGTATCATATGACTGGGTCAACTAATTGAGAGTAGGTAAATAAGATAGTCAGAGGTAGTCTTCCCTACCCGATCCTGTAAAATTAGCTCTTTTAAAGAGAAAATTATGTCTTATTAGTCCCCTTCAAAGACTAACAACAGTTGACTGTTGACAGACAACTATTAGCTTTTAGCAGAGTGTTGAAAAGGCTAACAAAAGATAAGAAAACACTGTGTGCATGTTCAACATCGGGTGATTTTCCACGCTTAACAAACTAGTGGTAAAAAGCCAATGTCATAAAATACTGTGTCTTACTAACTTAAGTGCTTAAAAAACTTGTGCCAAAATGACTGCTACCGGCATATTTTCTGTATACTGGGATCATTTGGTGTTTCTGTTAGACTCTTATTATATAACTCTATGGTTTTGTCACACATTTCCTTTCCATTTTGGTTTTGCTTTTCCAAAATAGGCCTATTAGTAACAGTGTCGAGGGGATTTTGATTCTTCAGTTCAATAGCGATTTTTGGTAAAGGTTCTGGAATGGTTGGGGCACATGGAGTCGCACATTTCCCTTCATTTTGGTTTTGTTCCTGCTCTTCCAAAAGAGCTGCAGAGTCAAAATGTTGTTTATAGTATCGTCTGATAAATTCTTCTATAACTTACAACAGAAAGTCAAAAATTTCTTTAGCAGCTTCGACCTTTTCACTTGCTAATATTTTGGTCAATTCGTCTTCGTCATTTTCTAATTCTTCCGCAACGTTAGACCGCAAACTGTTAGGTATGGTATAATATTTTTCACATTTCCCATTTTCCGATGAAGCTGGTTTTAGTTCCAGTGTAAAATCCACAACATTATTTAATATTGGAAGACATCACCTATCACCGAATCCAACACAATAAAACCCTGCATGTGTAAAACCCACAGCCCGAATACAAAGGTTTAGGACCAGCTTAGCTTAGTCTTAGGCTATCCCTGAAGAATAAAAGAAAAGATAGGGAGTTCCAACATGGATGCAATCGTAACATTACAAATTAACAATGACAGTATAACCCCATAGGTTGTTGCGCAATGGATAATGGATAACGCTTAACTGCGTCAGAAGGCATTTTTCCAAGTGCTACTAATGTATGCATGCCAGCAAATACAGTATTAGAACAAACTTGGGCAGTCAATGTTTATATAGGCTCTGACTAAAGTAGTTAGTTGTACTGTATGATTATAATCCTTATACATGAGCTAAAGACTCAACTGTAAGAAAAACCGGTAAGGACACCTTGTCGAAAGACAACATCCTATTTTAATCTTGCTCTTTAATCCCACTCGTGTAATTAAGTCTCCTGGGACTGGAAATTGTACATCACTGAAGGTAATCATAATTTCATTCGAGATATTTTCTAAAATGTCTATCCCATCTGATTCAGTAAATCACAATATATCATAGATCCTAGATTTTTTTGGTGGAACATAACATTATTATGATCACAGTATTTCTATCAAAAATGCCTATTCATTTCATGTTTATAAACACAAACCGCGTAAACTAAAAACATTCACATTAATTTTTACTATGATAATGAGGTAATAACTCATTTTAACTGATTCGACAATTATTCACCACCAAACTGCAATTTTTGTCAACTTTTTTCTCCCAATTGTCCTAAAAAAGACAAAAATTGTTGTACAATAGAATTCATTTCACAATAATTGCTGATTATAAAAATACTTCGAAAAGTTAGGTATCACACACTGACAAATCTTTCTTCAGGATTATCTGTACAGTGGTGTAACCTATTTTCGTGCATAAGGATTCAACACCGAATTTCGTCAAAGTTAAAATAACGAAAGAAAATTTTTATGTCTAACAACATAAGAGTATGGCCCACTTTGTGTTCCATAGAAATTTTCTGCTGACACGGAATCCGCTAGTTGATCACGTGACTTCATTCGTTGGACTACATACTAGCAGACGACACTTGGAATTCCGATTACCACTTGGGATTAACCGGAAATTCGGCCGATAAAAAATTACAACATGATAAGTCATGTGAAAGCCATGGTTTAAAGGGACAGATTCACCATCTCTTTGACCAATCACATCTCTATCTCAGATACAGAAATGGAAGTTGAAATGTCTAGTTTGACGGAATTATGCGATGTTCACATTTTTTCAAGACCTAAATTTATAGATCTTATTCTCCTGATAAAACTATTTTACAGACTTACTCATTATGATAATACTTGGAACATTGCCAAATTTTACACAAATTCTTATATGCCTACATATCGTAAAGAATTGTGCCTTCTCGAGTATTTACGAGCTACAGACTGAATACATTTCGAAAGACAAGAGAAATGCCTCATAACATTGTAAATTTTTAATTTTATTGATTTTTCATTCATAATAATCACTCATATGATAATATACTAATCAAATTAGATGCTCAGTAGGAAGGCTTTGTTGTTTTCCTTGCACCAATAGGCCAACCGCCTACCGCTGCCAACCGGCATACCGGAGTGAATAAAGGCGCTAAAATGAGCAAATTTAAGGATCGTAGATTTTCATACTACAAAACGAATTTTTCCAAGTACTAGGAGTGTGCTTCCGGTCTTGGTGAAGATTTTTATCCACTACATATATCGATGATTCTGTTGGATTAACAGGAGGAGCATTCGCAGAATTATTATAGTCTACGTCAAGGATTGATTTTGAAAAAATCCTTATAGGTGGAAGAAAGATTCCTTGGCCTTGATGCTCCATATGTTCCCGACGATAGTAAAAACTTAAGGGAAGTAACTCTGAAACAAACGACCTTGTTCAGTCGTTGTGATCATTAAAAAAAATCTAAAGGATTTTGTACGTTTTATTGTGTGCCCCATTTTATTTTTAAAAGAGATTATTGCTATTTTAAACACGAATTGTATCAGAAAATGTGAATGAAAATATCTCAAAGCAGAAAAAGAAATATTAATTTGTTTCGTTTCATTTTCAAAATTGATTTTTTAAAAATGAAATCGACCAAATAAAAAAAAAACGTGTTAGTTAGCCTACCACGTTTTGTCTCCACAGACTAACTTGGTGACATTGGCCTAAAATAGCCATTGCTTTAAAATACTGTCTTAAAAAACTTGTGCCAAAATGACTGCTTACCGACATATTCCGTTTCTGTATACTGGGATCTTTTGGGGTTTCTGTTAGGATCTTATTATATAACTCTATGGTTTTGTCACACATTTCCTTTCCATTTTGGTTTTCCAAAAGAGACCTATTAGTAACAGTGTCGAGGGGATTTTGATTCTTCAGTTCAATAGCGATTTTTGGTAAAGGTTCTGGAATGGTTGGGGCACATGGAGTCGCAAATTTCCCTTCATTTTGGTTTTGTTCCTGCTCTTCCAAAAGAGCGGAGCAAAGATGTGCTGCAGAGTCAAAATCTTTATGATGTTGTTTATAGTATCGTCTGATATATTCTTCTATAACAGACGACGGAAAGTTAAAAATTTCTTTAGCAGCTTCGACCTTTTCACTTGCTAATATTTTGGTCAATTCGTCTTCGTCATTTTCTAATTCTTCCGCAACGTTAGACCGCAAACTGTTAGGCATGGTATAATATTTTTCGCATTTCCCATTTTCCGATGAAGCTGGTTTTAGTTCCAGTGTAAAATCCACAACATTATTTAATATTGGAAGACATTGTTTGATATAGTCACAGTCTGGAGACCAACGATAATGTTCTGCTATGGGGATATCTATAGATTCCCATTCGATTAAAATAACCGAACAACTATGACATTTTACCCTATCGCCGGGTCCAACATAATAAAACCCTGCATGAGCTAAAGACTCAACACTGAGAAATGACGGCAAACGCACATTGTTAACGCTATAGGACCTTACCCTTTTTTCTGTACTGGCATAAAGATTTGCAGTGCTTTTTGAGATTTTGAAATTAAATAAAGTTTCCTTGTAGTTTTGAACAAATACACACCCATTATTTACTTTATAATGTTCAACTAAAGGATTGGATTTACTGTGCCAATTTTCAATTGTTTGAGAGCATTCGCAACACTGAACCTGGTCTACTTTCCCCGTATAATAAAATCCAAGTTTACTGAGTATAAATGGGTCAGGATAACCTAGCGGCCATGTTGTAAATGTTTGAAGTCTCTCGAGCTGTATAGTCATTCCACAATTTTTATAATTTAACCTACTTTTATGTCCGTCATCCATGACAACAGAATATATCTTAATATGACACGTATCCTTTAGTATCGACAAATTTTCGCGTGGCCTACTTAGGTATAATCGATATTGAAATATCACTTCAGTTTTCGAGGGCTAAACGTTACATTTCAAAAATTTAAACACCATAGTGTAACGGCCTATCTGAATATAGGCCTAATATCACATAATGTATACCCATTATTATATTGTACTGTAATTCAAACACGCCACCGTATCACAAATTTATTTAACTTATATATAAAGTTCAGTTGAGATTATTCATGGTTGTGCAGTCTTAATATGTGGCTAACTATTCGCGCAGGTCTTGACACCAGGCTTAAATATAAAGATTAGGGAAATTCCCAACCAATAACCAATCGGACGAAAGCAATTGTGTACAAACCACGCCCCCATTCATCATACTTCCTTGAAGACACTCATTTTCCATTAGGCCTATCGACCGACCGACTTGAGATTATTATTTGTCTCCTCGTCACTCGTCAGTCGGTGAAACTTTTGACAAGACTCATCGTGTCCAAACTATAACCATATTCGCCATACTTCGTTCATAATACCATGTCAAAACCCGTATTCGTGATACGATATAGACATTGTGGTAATGCTGGCAGGAAATTGATCAACAAATAGAACTTGATTTTATGCCTATGTTTAGACACCAAGTTTCATGAAAACACTATGGTGTTTAAATTTTTTAAATGTAACGTACATTATGTTTAGCCCTCGAAAACTGAAGTGATATTTCAATATCGATTATACCTAAGTAGGCCACGCGAAAATTTGTCGATACTAAAGGATACGTGTCATATTAAGATATATTCTGTTGTAATGGATGACGGACATAAAAGTAGGTTAAATTATAAACATTGTGGAATGACTACACAGCTCGAGAGACTTCAAACATTTACAACATGGCCGCTAGGTTATCCTGACCCTTTTATACTCAGTAAACTTGGATTTTATTATACGGGGAAAGCAGACCAGGTTCAGTGTTGCGAATGCTCTCAAACAATTGAAAATTGGCACAGTAAATCCAATCCTTTAGTTGAACATTATAAAGTAAATAATGGGTGTGTATTTGTTCAAAACTACAAGGAAACTTTATTTAATTTCAAAATCTCAAAAAGCACTGCAAATCTTTATGCCAGTACAGAAAAAAGGGTAAGGTCCTATAGCGTTAACAATGTGCGTTTGCCGTCATTTCTCAGTGTTGAGTCTTTAGCTCATGCAGGGTTTTATTATGTTGGACCCGGCGATAGGGTAAAATGTCATAGTTGTTCGGTTATTTTAATCGAATGGGAATCTATAGATATCCCCATAGCAGAACATTATCGTTGGTCTCCAGACTGTGACTATATCAAACAATGTCTTCCAGTATTAAATAATGTTGTGGATTTTACACTGGAACTAAAACCAGCTTCATCGGAAAATGGGAAATGCGAAAAATATTATACCATGCCTAACAGTTTGCGGTCTAACGTTGCGGAAGAATTAGAAAATGACGAAGACGAATTGACCAAAATATTAGCAAGTGAAAAGGTCGAAGCTGCTAAAGAAATTTTTAACTTTCCGTCGTCTGTTATAGAAGAATATATCAGACGATACTATAAACAACATCATAAAGATTTTGACTCTGACTCTGTTTTTTAAGACAGTATTTTAGGCCAATGTCACCAAGTTAGTCTGTGGAGACAAAACGTGGTAGGCTAACTAACACGTTTTTTTTTTTATTTGGTCGATTTCATTTTTAAAAAATCAATTTTGAAAATGAAACGAAACAAATTAATATTTCTTTTTCTGCTTTGAGATATTTTCATTCACATTTTCTGATTCAATTCGTGTTTAAAATAGCAATAATCTCTTTTAAAAATAAAATGGGGCACACAATAAAACGTACAAAATCCTTTAGATTTTTTTTAATGATCACAACGACTGAACAAGGTCGTTTGTTTCAGAGTTACTTCCCTTAAGTTTTTACTATCGTCGGGAACATATGGAGCATCAAGGCCAAGGAATCTTTCTTCCACCTATAAGGATTTTTTCAAAATCAATCCTTGACGTAGACTATAATAATTCTGCGAATGCTCCTCCTGTTAATCCAACAGAATCATCGATATATGTAGTGGATAAAAATCTTCACCAAGACCGGAAGTACACTCCTAGTACTTGGAAAAATTCGTTTTGTAGTATGAAAATCTACGATCCTTAAATTTGCTCATTTTAGCGCCTTTATTCACTCCGGTATGCCGGTTGGCAGCGGTAGGCGGTTGGCCTATTGGTGCAAGGAAAACAACAAAGCCTTCCTACTGAGCATCTAATTTGATTAGTATATTATCATATGAGTGATTATTATGAATGAAAAATCAATAAAATTAAAAATTTACAATGTTATGAGGCATTTCTCTTGTCTTTCGAAATGTATTCAGTCTGTAGCTCGTAAATACTCGAGAAGGCACAATTCTTTACGATATGTAGGCATATAAGAATTTGTGTAAAATTTGGCAATGTTCCAAGTATTATCATAATGAGTAAGTCTGTAAAATAGTTTTATCAGGAGAATAAGATCTATAAATTTAGGTCTTGAAAAAATGTGAACATCGCATAATTCCGTCAAACTAGACATTTCAACTTCCATTTCTGTATCTGAGATAGAGATGTGATTGGTCAAAGAGATGGTGAATCTGTCCCTTTAAACCATGGCTTTCACATGACTTATCATGTTGTAATTTTTTATCGGCCGAATTTCCGGTTAATCCCAAGTGGTAATCGGAATTCCAAGTGTCGTCTGCTAGTATGTAGTCCAACGAATGAAGTCACGTGATCAACTAGCGGATTCCGTGTCAGCAGAAAATTTCTATGGAACACAAAGTGGGCCATACTCTTATGTTGTTAGACATAAAATTTTCTTTCGTTATTT